GTCCTGGGGAAGCCGGCAGGGCCAGCAAACAGCAGGCCTGGCCGCAAGGGCCTCCTTAGCCTTAGGATTAGCTTGGACTATCCCTGACCATAACACGAGCTGTGCTGGGGAACAGCAGCCCTCGTTTGGCGCAGCCGGGGGAGCCCCTTGTGTAGCGAGGCTGGAGGTCCCGCGGAGAGACCGCGGGTGAAACCCGATCGTTGCTGCAACCCAAACCTTGGCTGCCGCCGCTTTCATCTTGCGGGGGGAAACGAGCAGGAGGGACCCGGCGCTTTAGCCCGCGATGTTTCACATCTGGTCTCAGCTCCAAGGTATTTGCTCCCGCCCCCTCTCCACACTGTTAACCCCGAGCAAACAAAAAATCCAGGGACTTCCTGGAGCTCTGGGCTTGGACAACCTACCAGCAGCTTTAATCCTGCATCCCGGGCTGGGCTGCATCTCAAAGGAACATCCCGAAGGGCCGTGCACTTCCCCTCCCTCGAAGGAGATGCTTTGAAGGCGCAGACAAGTCCTGTCCTCAGGATGGGCAGGAGGAACCTCCATGGGGCAGCCTGGAGACACGGGCAGGGGAAGGTGGTTTGTGGCCATGCTTGGGACCTGTGTCCGACCTGGGGCGATTCTGAGGTGCTTTGGGCCTTTTGCATGAATACTGCAGGCAGCAGCGGCCGCTGGAGCCGGGCCCTCCTTCCTGCTCCCGAGGAGCACCATGTAAGACAGGTCACCATTTCCAGGGAGATGAACCGGGCTTAAATCTTGCCTTCTCGCTCTATTTTTAGGCTCCAGGACTGCATTTTTGTCTGGGTTACTTATGCTGCCCCCATTCCCTTCTTTGAGAGTGTCTGGAAACGTTTAGGATGTGTCCAGTTGTGCTAGACGTGCCGTGGAGAGCGCTCGCTGTCAGCTTGAGTTTTCTTCTAGGAAGAGAGGTTTCAAATTTGTGATTTTACATTTTCTATCCCATAAACGTTTACTTCGTTTCAGGTGTTGTCTGGATCTCAAGCTCACGCTGGCACGTTTAGAATCACTCGAGCCCTTTCCCAGGACCCCTTTCAAGTCGTTCATTCTCTTGCCCCATGAGTGAAAGGTGGCCGTGACAGCGTCCCAGCCTGGTGCCATCCTCATCATGGGGGCCCCAGGGCTCTTCTCAGCTCCTTAGTCCCATCCTCAGGATCAGGCCTGAAGCGGGGGCTCCACGAGGAAGAGCGCCACCTTCTAGCCAGGGGATTCGATTTTCCTTCGGCTTCTTTCCTTTCCCCCATTTAAAACTGGTTATTTCCCCTCTTTTTTTTTTTGTCACAAGGACCTCATCGCAGATGTCATTTGCTACTGATTTGTGGCAGCCTTGGCGTTTCTCTCCCACTATTTCCTTCCTAGTGCTCCAACACGTCGCCCTGATGGACACCAGGAAGGGATGGAAAAGCCCTCCCTTCCTCTCACTTTGGAGCCCAACTCGCCAGGACGCTTAGGAGTGTTTTTCTACGCCTCGCATTTTTCTGACTAAGGGGTATGGCAATTTTGGCAAGAAATGGGAATCCTCAACACTTCCGCTGAATCTCCATAGGCATCCTGAAGCAAAGGCAACCCCGCACTGCAGAAGTTATGCCTGGAATCACATGAATGTAGCAAACCTGGCAAGAGGCACTACCAGAGCTCTTCTTTGCCTGGGAGATTTAGTGAGTTGCAGGTTTCTCACTTAACAGTAAGAGCATCATGAGTCCTCACAGCCGGCTGGCTGAGCACAAAGCAAGGTTTGTCAGACAGTACCCTGAATAATGACAAATATCTGAAATTATTAAGACCGGTTATGCTGCCTGTTTGCACCAGAGTTCAGTCTAAAAGCAAGTCCGTGGGACTACATCCATTCTGACCACGAACTCATGAGCTCCAGTGGGATTTTACCATTGCAAGTTGCTGCCGACTTCGCTTTAATCTGCCCCTAGCTGCAAGCTTTGCTCACCAGAACCATCACTGGCTTCAGGCTCGGGAACCCCCTCACCACAGCACGTTTTCTAAGGTTTTTAATTGCTGCTGTTGATAACCAAACCCCCACAGCCGATTCCTTCTAGCAGCTCTACCAAACTTTCAAAATCAGCATCAAAATAGGCAAATGAGTAAGTTTTGCGCCCACAGCACTGCTGACCAGGCTGCCAGGGCTCTCCATGAAGGCAGGTTCCTCCCTGTACCTCAAATGAACCTGAAAAACAGCTACTGAGTGGCCTTTGGGAGCCTGTTCTGCCTTCAAAACCTCACGTTTGTGATCAGACATAAACCAACCAAAGCGGAGTTTGCTTTTGATTCAGTGTCAGAGCATGAGGCGCAGCGGACAAGGCGGATTTGGTAGGAGGAAGGTAATCTCTTTAGTTGTGCAACTCACCCGTTGCTCAGAAAAGCTCTGAACGTGAGCGAGTAGGAATCCGATTGCAGCAATGGTTAAAGAATTAAGAACAACTCTCGCATTGGCACTAAAAGAGGAAGAAATGAACAAAACCAACCACTCAATTGTATGTTTCTGTATAACGATCGGGGAACTAAAATGGAGAGAGATGACCTGACACGCGGAGTGACCTCAATTGGGCTATGACAGGCTGATTATACCTTGGCATATGGACAAGCCGTTCACTAAGAAGAAAATATCGGTCATATTCATTGTGTCTGCTATTATATAAATTACAATGTTTGAAACGTTAAGTGACGAGAGGCTGAAAGTGAAGAGAAATGGTTCAATGTTACCAAGGATTGGAGAATGAGCTCACCCTCCTTGCAGAACTACGTTTGCTCTTTTAAAGCTGTTTTAGAGCAGCCTTTGTGTGTGGAGGGAGGTATTGCACGTGTAAAACAGTTTATTCCCATATGCTTTTCTCCTAGAAGCAGGATGGACCCACCAGAATTTCTCACTGCCTCCAAGCGGCGTTTGCCCAGCCCTTACGCTGGCTGCACGGTGTGTCCAAAACGCTGCTCGGGATCTTTGCTCATTCCAAAGCAGGCTAAATGCAGGAAGGGATTTTGACGTGTGGTGACATCTCATGTAGATCCTCTCCGGACTGCGAACACGGAGAAGCTCCTTGGTTTTACTGCTGTCCTGCCCTATGCAGGGCACAGGAGATAATCCTAATAGAGAAGACAAACAAAACACACATACCTAAATCCAGCACCCCACAATCCTATTTCATCACATTTCCAGCAAAAAGCTGCAGAAGGTTTTACTGCTGTCCTGCCCTATGCAGCGCACAGGAGATAATCCTAATAGTGAAGACAAAACACATGTACCTAAACCCAGCACCCCACAATCCTATTTTATCACATTTCCAGCAAAAAGCTGCAGAGGGATGTCTGTGACATTTTATTAAAAATCCTAGTACCAAAGTGACCACATATATTGGCAAAAAGCAGCAATGTTCACCTTCCTGCACATCCCCAGCTCCGCAGGACACACACCAGCCCCGTTCCCATGACATGGGGATTCGAGCTCCATCTCTGCACCAGTTCCCACTCCACGGCAGAAACTGGACAGTGTCCCTGAAAGTCACCGTGTCCCGGCTGCGCGGGATTGGGAACACACTGCAAAGCAGAAGGCCCCTGGATGCTCTCCCACCTTTTGTGCCGAGATCCAGCTCAGTCAACCCCAAGGTTTTTATCCAGCAGCTCTACAACACGGGAGGTAGAGCAGGAATAAAAATCCCCAGTGCTCCAGGGCTTGAAGATTAAACCACGTTAAACATCAGGTAGTACCGGGGCCCCAGGGTGCTGATCCTGGAGCACTTTTAACACACTCGGAATATGACCCCACGCTGAGAATGAAATTTGGGGTTTGAGATAAAATATGCAAGTTCTTGGCTTTTCACATTTCTGGGTTGTGAACCAACCTTATGCAAAGGATAAGGTTTCTGCATTGCAGACATTTTTCTTCCTATTAAATATGTGATGTATTTGGTCATCACTGTGAAGAGACTTTATATAAATGCAGGCTTTAAGAGGAAGATTTGAAGTGTTCTTGACAAAGTTACATGGAATAGCTGTAGCACCAAAATAAGATTAGTAAAAAGCACTATTAAAACCCCACTTAAATACTGTCTCCAAGTCTAGCTGTCATTTCCTAAAATAATGAAGCTGTCACTAATTGGGAAGCTCATTGCATTCCTGTAAAGCACTTCTGTACACCTACTTGTACCATGCCAGGGGAAGCTAAATGAGTTCAAGAAATCATTTTATAAGTAAAAAAATTCCTTTTAGATAGGAAAATTGTTAAGCCAGGTATGGAAGCTACGGCAGCACGGGCTTGAGCCAGCACTATGAGCATTCCCAGGAGCTTCACTTAAGCATGGTGATCTTTAAGCTTGGGACGGAGCTTGTGCAGCACTTCAGGGAGAAACCCAGCCCCAGCCGTAAATAACAGGCACGTAGAACCCCCGGCTGTACCAGGCACAGCGTGAGCAACACCCGCACAGCTTCGGCCGGGTGTGACGGCAGCGAGGAGCCCGCTCGTCCCCGCGCTCCCGGCCCGGCTCCCGGGATATTTCCCGGCTCCGCTCGGGAACACGGAGGCTCCAGCATCCGCGTCCGCCCGGACGGCGCCGCCTCCCTCAGCCCGAGCCCGGAGCTCTGAGGAAGCTGCTGCCCCCGGCTGCAGCACAACAACAAACCACCATGTGCTTTTGAGGAGTCTTTTTTATTAAGATAAATCCAGCAAAATTCCTAACAGTGGGTACATACAACCAACCTGCCCTTTTAAAAGAAATGTTTGTATTTCATTTAAAAACATGATTACACTTTTTATTTATTTATTTTTCAAAACTGACAAAATAAAATTACATTTGGGAAACAACAGATTTCCAGCTCTTAGGTTTTTTTTTTTTTCATGAAAATATCTCACCTTCTTTATAAAAGCAACCCACAGAACCACTGGAATGTTTAACACAGTTATTTGTTTTGAGACCTCCCCACTTTAAGAAACCATACAACACATACAAGGGTAAAATTAAAATCTGAAGTCTGTAAGCATGACTTACACAAAAAGGGACACACTGACAGAAGTCAAAAGCTACCACCACTTATTCTTTCCATGTACCATACAAACTATTACAATCACAAAATTTAAAAACAATGATTTTTTTTTGTTTTGTTTTGTTTGTTAGGGATTTAATTCCCAAGTAACCGAGATGAAGATGTTCCATAATTAAATTCATGCTAAAAAAACCTGCATTTATAAAATAGTTGATAAAAATATTCCTCTCTGTTAACAATACAGCATGGAGGTACGGATACCAAATGATGGAGATATAGGGCAGGGTTAACATTACTCGGACTTGGCTTCCTTATCATCAGATGCTTCAGCAGCTGGTGCCTATAAAAGTGTTTGGGAAGAACAGATATATTATTTTTAATGCTAATCAGATTGCGTTTTAACAAGCATCAAAGAGACTAGCGTGTAAGCACACACGGACAAACACTGCAGGTAGGTAGACAAGAACGCACAACTACTATGGAAAATACTAATACAACAATATGTTGGCTGGTATTCTTGAAATTAAACAGAAAAGAGCAATAATCAGTGATCAAGTTAATACTGGAATGTTAAAAACCCAAAAGGCAGAAGTTTGGAAGACAGATTAGATTAAGATCAATCTCACACTAGGCAGAATTGAAGTTCTCATCTCCATAATCCCAAGGATGTTTAAGAATTCCATGTAAAACCAGGACATTTGTCTATTGTCTGAACTTCAAGGAAAATACTTTTCACCCCTGTTTTCTATAAAAATATCTGCTATGAGTTTTTAAGACAACTCATCAAAATTGCCAAGCTCCCATCAAAGATCTTTTGCAGTATGTTAGCCCCATACTGCCTTTTTAGCAGAAAAACTTTTGAATTAGCTTTAAGAATGAAAGAATAAATTATCGATTAACTATGTAATGATACTCAACACATGAAGAGAGAGCGAGCACTTAATCAAAAGCAACAGAGAGTGCAGCAGGCTCATCTATCCCTACAACAGCAACGGGGTCTGTAGCAAACACTGAACTTCTACTATGAGCAAGAAATCCGCTGGGAAAAGCCATAAGGAGGTGAGTGAAAAAAAGCCAAAACAGTAGCTCTTAGGTAAGTAGCTAATGTAGTGAGAACCTGTAAGAAAGAGGCTTGTGCATGAAGAGACAAGACCAAGTTTCATTTTGCAGAACTTTTGCTGAATTGTTCTGATGCGAAGGATTGTTCTAAAGAATTGTGTAAAACCTAAAACCAGATTTGTGGCACAGGCCCAGCCCGTGCTGGGCAGAAGAGGCAGCCCAGCCGCGCGGGGAGGACCCGCCAGGCAGCTGGGGCTGCAGAGCCGTCTCACTGCGCTCTGTTGTGCCCCAAACGCCCAGAGAGGGGCCCGAGGCCACCAGAGGCCACCTGAGATGGGCTCTAGCCGCCCCTGCGCTCGCACTGCCCTGGCTGTGCCCGGGGCAGTGACACCACGAGGCCCACGCTGTGCTCCTGCGCGCGCTAGCGCTTACTCCCACGCTAAGGCAGCTAAAGTACCTCGTTAGTTTTGGTATCTCCGTTTTCAGAGTGGTTTTCTTCTTTAGCATCCTCTTGTTTAGTTTCATCTTTGCCTTTGGCTCCTTTCTTCCCTTTTGTTGCTGTTTTTTTGTCCTCCTTTTTATCATTTGCTGCTTTTTCTTTCTGTTAGGAGAGCAGATCATGCTGTGGTAAATACAGTTTCCACCTGATGCATCCGCATCTTCCCAGCTCTGAGGCTGTCTACACAACCTGCTTCTACTCACTGAACTTCCCTCTGACAAAAACGAGGTGAAAGTTTCTATGGAGAAACTTCTGTTCTGTCCTGAATGTGCTACTGGGAAGTACATAATATAAAAGCAACCATGGCTGGGGTTAAAAGAATTCCCATTTTAAATAGGCTTTCAATTAAATTAGCTAAAAAATGTCAGCGTTGAACTGGCCTGTATTTCTGCTGTGCTGCTGAAAGGCATACCAGAGAACAAAACCAACATGCACAAGCAGTGGAAACACCAGCACACTTCAGATGTGCTGTTAATGCTGATGCAGAAAACTGTAATGAAGCTGAAGGACCTTCCCCTCCCCAGCCAGAAATATTCCTTGCTGTAACAAACCATATGCACAGCAAACAAGTTGGGGCTCAACAGCATCCTTCAGCAACAGAGGGAACTTGGATTTAAGTGCAGTTTCCTATATGGCTGATGAAGCTAAATCAAAACCCAAGTTAATGCTACAGCTTCTGCAGTAACAGTTTCCTACGTGGTGGGGTCAAATCCTGACCCCCCTCCAGCACCAGGATCCTCATTAGCTTCACTCCAAGGCTCTGCCTCTTCTTGCCAGTAACTGCACCAGGCAAACGGGCTCAGCTCCTTGCCCGGGTCACGCAGCCCCCCACAGAGGAGTCACAAATATCTGCAAGTTATCTAAGTTCTAGATATAAGTTACTGAATTATGTCTGTGTGTGTGTGGGGGGTGCATTCGATGGAATTGCCTTAATGACCAAAAGTTTTTTTTATAAAAAAAAAAAAAAGGCAAAGGCCTGGACAGACGCTGCAGTGACGCTGGCACCCAGGGGCCCGGGGCTGTTTGGCCACGGAGGTTTCCAGCTGCGACCCCAGCCTGGGCCCAGCTCCGGAGCCTCCCGGACACCGGCTGCCGCGGCGGCTCCGGCAGCACCGGGCGTTCGGGAGCACCGGCTGTTTGTGCCTTTGCTTTCCCAATGGAAGCCCGAAAGGACGTTGAAAAGCTTGGGACTGTTTCCAGAGGGGTATCTTTGCCCTTGTCCCATTAAAAAAAGACAGCAAAGTATTGGCAGAGGTAAAATCGGCTTTGGGGGCAAACCTCATGGCTGTTCTCTAAGGACTCAGGCCTCCTTCCACACCAAACGAGTCCAGGAAAAAATACCCAAGGAGATTCCCAAGCTTCTTCCATCCTCTTAGCTAGTTCTGAGAGGTATCACCAAGCCAGTATCATTTTATTAGTTTTTCCGGAATATTTTTCCTACCTATGGCAGTATCAATACAGCAATAAAGTTGTGTGTTTTACATAGTATTTCATTTTTTCCCCCCACATCTTTTTTCTTTTCCGGTTTTACATAGTATTTCATTTTTTCCCCATCTTTTTTCTTTTCCAATACAGTTAAGTTTAAGAGGATGAAATCTATTTTTACACACACAAAGAAAGCATTCCAAGAACTGAAAGTTGTAAAGTTAAGCATTGGGGAAATAGGAATTAAAGATGCCTGCACAATTCTTACTGCATCCTCTTCTGCATAGACACTGACCCAGAATCAGGGTTTTCAGAGAGCCAGAAAGGCAGTTTCAGCACCCTGGCTTCAAAGCAAGAGCTGAACCTCCTCCCAGGCCCTGCTGCCCTGAGCTGGGCAAGGGACAAGGCAACGTCCCAGCAGGGCCAGCGGGGAGGCCACAGGACACACCGTAAGGGACCAAGGCCAGCCTGGCAGTTGTTACACCCTGAGCAACCCTGAGTTGTTACACCCTGATGCTCACTTCGGCAGCTCCTGTTCAGACAGGTCTTGTGCATAAGCACCGAGGGGTTTCCATGAAAATAAGAAAGGCAAACTTGAAAAAAACGAATGCAGCAAAGTGCAGCACATGCACCGGCCCCTGCAGGGCTCAGCAGCAGAGGCTGAACCCAGGAGCCTTGGATCCCAAGCCAGCTCCCTGCCCCTGGGGCTAGAACTACCAGCAGTAGCTCCCACCTTCCCGGGGGCACACGCGCTTCCCAGCGCCTCCCGGAGGATGCGGCGCAGCCGGATTCCTGGTTCCCCCACTGCCCAAAGGAGCCTTAACATTTTTAAAAGTTTATTTTTTAACTATACTGTCAGATATGCCAATAGTTTTGACACCTCCAAAAATGACAAGCTGAAAGAAGTGGACAGGCAGAACTTCTCTCTAGTCATTAAAGTTTGATAAACTGATGACTAACTGAAAATGGTGTCTTTGAATGAAATATAATAAGAAACTATACTTAAAAAAGCAATATTTGCAATGCCTTCTCTAACTGAATCTCTGGTCTCTACTCAGTGCATCCTTTTCCCTCCCATACATTTTAGGAAATAACAGAATGGCCTTGCCAGGCAAGCAGTAAAGTCTCAACACAACTGACCTCAAATCCAATCAGGCAACCACTTTTCTTCACTAGCAATTGGTAAAAATTATCTTTGCATCCTTCACTTTATTTTAACTCGCATAATTCAATTTCAGTTGTTTAAAGAAAATTCTGAAAATAAAGTGATTAGGTATGGACATTTTTCTGCCTATGAACACCTTGGAGAAAAAAAAAAGATTATAACTTCAGTTCTAGCTATCTGAAATACTTACCTTAGGTGCTGCCTTTTTGGGCTTTGGCTCCGGCTTAGGCGGAGCAGGTTTCTGCACAAAACATAAGAAACACAGAGTCAGATGAACCCTATAAAAGTTTCAGAAGTGTTTGTTACGTTTTAAGATTACTGGAACAAAAATATTTTGAGCTAAAAGCTGCACTCTAGTATAAGAAGTGAATGTGTCAAATTGGTTTGTTTTGCTATCCAAAAGCACATTGCCCCCAAACATTTCGGTGTTTGTGGTACAGGCATTGACTAGTGGTGGTAGGTGAGTCCTTCATCACTGTGCCTGAGTATCACTGTCTGCTGGGAACACAGATCCCTGTCAGAGATGAAATACAGCAGTAACATTCGCAGAGATCTTGCTGTATGAACACATATTCTAGCTTTCACTAAAATGAAATACTTCGGTTAAAAAAAGAATCCATTATCCACTTGGCATTTCCAAACAATTTAAAAAACGGTGGAGTCCACTGAATGTCCAGTCTGTAGAAGAGGATGCAAAGTGGAATGGAGTTTGAACCCTACTGCACTACGCACATTTGCAGCCTGCAGGTCTCAGTTTACCAAACCAGTTGAGCCCTCAAAATCAATGTGCAAATTAAGGAGAGAGTAGATAAATTTATATGGTTATGAGTAGGTATTTGTAAGGAGAAGAGCTACAGAGAACACATCCATTTGAAACCAATATTCCTTGACTCCAGATACCTACCTCAGGCATCCAGATTGTGCATTAACTAACAGAGATCTTCTACCTTGCATGAAATACCTGGACACGAGCCTATGATGTGCTGATCCTGAAGACTTGGTAATTTTACTTTTGAAGAAGACAATGCTCTGACTGTGCCCCTCCACATACTACTGAGAACACATCATTTCGCTACAGCTGTCCCCCAGAACACGAGCACATGCAATGTCATGCTAAACAGGCAAATAAAAGGTACTTACAGCGGATAGTCTAGCTGACCTTCTCTTTGGCTGCATAAAGAGAGAGATGTCACTACAGAGCATTCGACACCGGGTGTTCCCAGGCCCGCAGCACCGGGTAACACGATGCACACACCACTTTGTGACAGCCCGTCCACATTCGAGGGGTCTTGGGGAAACCACCAACCTCGTGGCAACAACTTCCTAAAAGTGCAGGTTTGTTCAACAGGTCTCCCTCCGCACTGGCTTCTCTTGGCCAGACTGAGGCGTTAGGTGAGGAAGTTTCCCACTACGGTGCCACTCTTGGGTGACCGTCAGGTAACACGATGCACACACCACTTTGTGACAGCCCGTCCACATTCGAGGGGTCTTGGGGAAACCACCAACCTCGTGGCAACAACTTCCTAAAAGTGCAGGTTTGTTCAACAGGTCTCCCTCCGCACTGGCTTCTCTTGGCCAGACTGAGGCGTTAGGTGAGGAAGTTTCCCACTACGGTGCCACTCTTGGGTGACCGTCACCCTGAGGGCGCCCATCGCCTCCCTCCGGAGCGGGACCGCCGCCGTTTCAGAGCAGGGCCCGTTCCAGGGCAGAGCGGGCCGGTTCGGCCGGGCCCGGAGCCCAGACGCGGCTGGACCCCCCACACGCATCTCTGCGGTGCCCAAGGCGCCCGCTGCGGCCTGGGGGACCCGTGCGGGCATCGAGGGGCCTGACAAGGGACAGCAGAGCCGCGCCGCTGGGTCAAACCTACCTCCTCCTTTGCCTCGCCTTCAGCTGGAGCCTGAAAAAGAGAGCGAGAGGCGGGTGAGGCGCCTTCCCGGCCGGCCCTGCGCTGCGGTTCGCGCGGGTGTCGGGGCGGCGTCGCCGGTGCCACCTGGGCCCGCG